CAAGACACGTGTCCTCTAGCTACACAAAGAGCAAAAAGTAAGAGTTTTTATGGCAAAAACTCTGGGATAGAACTGGTACAGGTAATTCAAAAGAATTACGTGGAATTTATGGATTAAATCCAAAAAGTGGCCAATTTATATTAATAAAATTAATATAAATTAAACCAGAGGGGCCTGATAAATCAGGGGTGGTTTAATCCCTCTAAGGTATCGTGCAAAAAGCAGAGGATTTAGGTACCTGATACACTGGGGCCTGTAGCAGGTGTGGTTTAAATCCCAGGAGATAATTTTTTAGGGGAAAATCTTCAAGAAAGGGTTATTACTTACTAGTAATAATCCAAAGGGGTCTTGAGGATTTTCTTAGTAGAAACTGGAAATTTGGGAGCGCTCAGAAAGGTTGATTTTGGGTGCTGCTTGATAACTGGGAAGTTTCTTGAGGGTTCTTGAGGCTTTAATAACAGCAAAAATAGTAATAACTAGGCTCATTACAAGTGTAGGGGACTTGTAAATGGTAAGTATGTTTCTATCTAGTATTGTAAAGCTGGGGGATCATTATTTGGGCGGTCAGAAGGCCCTTTAAATACCTGTGGAAGGCCTCAGGAGTTGCTCAGGGGAGCTTAGTAGGACTTGGGGGCGCTTTTGGGCCCATTTTGGCCCACATGGTGATGTAACCAGGGATGGAACCTTGGGGATAACATTCTAGAATCTCCAAGGGGTCATGCACGAAATTATTACAGCCCAGAATGTCTCATGGGAACCTGTAGATAGGGGCTACTCTGTTATGTGGAGAAGTTTCCTTAGAAATGGGCCACAGAATATTCAAGAGGTGTCTTCTGAGGCTTGCTACATGTGTTACACATTGGAATATGGTTACTGTAGGATTTTTATGGATATTCTAGCTTGTTGAAATTCTTATTACACGTGTGGGGGCTTGGTTGTCACGTGCAATGGGGATTCTGGGGCTTTTGTGGCCAAATCCTTGGATACTGGTGCGCAGCATGACTACGTGGCACATGGGCTTGGAGACAGGACTCCACACTGCTCTATCTTCTAAACCGTGCACAATACTCCAATTCTGAGACTGGATTTGGAGTATATGCAGAAGTGTCACAGTACCCGTCATCTGGGGGTACCTGTTAATTATTCATGCTTGTATTACAGGATGAAGGAGTTAGAATTTGGGGTACCTTTGGCTGAGGTACCCTAGGTTAAATTGCATGCTGATTCAGAATCTGCAATAACATTCAAGGTTTTGTTTATACTTTTTAAGTTATTCATTTATTTTATATATTTTTTATCTTATTTACATAAGTAATATTGTTTCTTTTACTTATGTAATAATTTTAATTTATACTTAGATTTTTTATGTGATTTATTATTCTTATTTGCTGTGACAGGTTGTCTCTGCCATAGTAGCAAGCTGACACCCCCCGCCTTAGCGGGTATCCCCGGATACCCGCCCTTTAAAGGGCCGGCAAGGGACCAGCTGGAAGGGTTTCCTTCCAGACGGCGAGCCACATGCTCAACGGCTGGAAGGATTTCCTTCCAGCCATCAAGGCACATGTACCTCGTCAACTGAGGAAACCCTCCGGTCGACGAGGTACATGTATGTCGCTGGCTGGGAGGGTTTCCTTCCGGTTGACGAGGTACATGTACCTTGTCGACTGGAAGTATTTCCTTCTGGCCTCGGGTATCCTTTGGGATACCCGGATACCCGCCAGTGTTTTGCGGAAAAGGGGCCATCCGCACCCAAATCTTCACCCGCTGGCGGGTATCCGCCAGGGGATAGCGGGTATCCGCGACGGATACTCTTTGGCCATCTCTAACTTCCTCCACTTGCAAAAAAAAAAGAACCAAATTAGAAAAAGAATAAAAAGTAAAAGGTAAAAAAATGAAAAAAAATGAAAAAATAAAAGAAAACAAAAATGAAAAAAAAAATGAAAAAAAAAATGAAAAAAATGAAAAAAATGAAAAAAATGAAAGAAAAAAAAAAGTGAGATTATTGAATACCTGCGATACTGTGCCAATATTTTATTTTATTGGCCAATACAATATATTCAAAACAGATAAAATTTATCTGTTTCCAATAAAATACAAATTTATTTTATTGGCAAACAGATATAATATATTTATTAAAGATACTTTTTATCTGGACACCAATACAATATAAAATATTGGGCAATAATTTATTTTATTGTATATGTTTGACCGTTGCGCAAAGCCAGGTCCCGGTCAAAGTCAGACATTTTAGCCAAATGCCCCCGGTCGCCAAGGCCAGACTTGTTGGCGAGGTACCCCCGTGCCAAAGCCAGACTTTTTTTGGTGAAGTGCCCCTGGTTGGGAAGCCGGCCCTTTTGGCAAACTGCCCCCAGTCACGAAGGAAGCCAGACTTGTTGGCGAGGTGCCCCTGGTTGAAAAGCCAGACTCTTTGGCAAGGTGCTCCCGGATGAAAAGCTGGCCCTTCTGGCGAGGTGCCCCCGGTCGCAAAACCAGACTTTTTGGCGAGGTGCTCGCGGTCACACAGCTAGAGCCTTTTTGGCAAGGTGCCCCCCCCCCCTTGCAAAGTCAGTCTTATTGGCAAGGTTCCCCCGGCCCATAGGAACAAATGGATTGCGTGTCCAACCCTTCCGAACCCATGATAGGGACTCTTAGGAGGATCACTTCGAGGGGTGCTTCCACAAACCCGTATCCACACAAAGATATTCATATCCACAATTCAACTCAGGCCGGTATGAGAAATCAAGAGGAGATCCAATCAAAGATTGAAACTTCAGAGAGCTGCTCTAACCCTGACATATCCATATACACAAGCCTCCTGATGGGAGATGGTGGAATATTCCCCCACCTCATTGGGGCTTGGGAGGGCCGACACTTGCGTGTTGCACCAGCCCCCAAATAGAGGGACTCCGACGGACTTGAACAATCATGGACGCGTCTGGCGGATACATTCATGCCGTAACTCCGGAGCTCAAAGCATATCCCCGCCCTGCAGCCATATCTATGAATCTTCAGCTATGTGACCAAGTGCCAAGTAGGAAATGGTGAATGAAAGACAATGTAGAAAAAATTTATGGGGAAAGCTGCCGGCTCGGACGGGCAAGTGACTCTACCCACAGCATGGATTCGGTGATGTCCCCGTATTTCTAGACTAGAGAAAGGATTCGGTGATTTCCCTGTATTTCTAAACTAGAGAAACATATCAAGCGTTAGAGGAGGGTAAATGTAATCACACTCACTGCCAAGTTATTCAAGCGTGCTGCTGCTGCTGCTGGCATACCTACGGGAGCGACATAACATTCCAGATCCACCAGGCAGTGCTTATTCTCAATATACTTGATCAGTTGGTAAATATTTAAATAAATACTTAGCCATTCAACCAGTGGCAAGTGGTCTGCGGACTGTCAACTAAAAGGCTAAACATTTCCCTGAAGTTATAAGGTCCGGCAAGATGTGGGTGTGATTTTGGCTCCACATGGGGCTTGGTTCCATACACAGCCTTGTAATATAGGTAGAGGTATATGACTAGTATAGACGGATTCATGTGGAGTGTGATTTGACCAACTCATGGTTTGGAGGGGTGGATTAAAGCTGCGGAAAAAGGTGAGCGTACGGTCCGGCGGTGCTTGCTTGAGAAAGTAACGTTCAAACCCAACACTCCGGACCACTGACGAGAGTTGAGTTTCCATACAGTCCAAGCTGCTGGCACTAGATTCGATCGCGAATTCTGCATTGACCTTTGCCCATTGGCACCGCACTGAGGACTGCTGTAGATAGATCCATTTTCAGACTCGGCCATATAAGCCCTGTGTCAGTCACGATAATCACTACCCATCCCACCTTCACAGTCCACAGTAATCAGTCTAATAACCTTCAACCGCATCAACGTTTCGTGCTCTCCACTTCCATCTTGAGCGAAAGCCAGACTTGTGCCTCATCCCAAACGTTTCCTGACCTGCATCCAATCCTTTCACCAACATGAATGCCACTATCTATGCTTTACTTTGTCTCGCTGCTGCCGCTGCCAACGTTGCTACCGTTGGCGAAAAAATGAAATGTTTTACGTATTCTGCTGGGACCAAAGGATACTATGAGTGGTCTCTTTTTTAGTGAGCATGTAGCAAGCAATCGTTCTCTCGAGAATCCTAACAAACGGCCCGGTTGTTGTCAATACATTAGCCTGCAACGATTGGTCTGACATCATCTGCACCAAAGGCTGCAAGACTTTCGTCAGTAAGTTACATACACAGTCTTGGCCCTCCTGTCCGATAAAAACTCAACTCACTCACACTTTTCTTTCAACTTAACATAGCCATTACCAACTGCACTTTGCCCAGCTACCCTAAAAAGCCAGTGACCACCGAGCTTTGCACCATCGGATACGGACGTGATACGGCCGCTGCCAAAGGTAACTAACTATAAGGACCCTTTTATGTGTTACTGCAAACCATATTTTAGCTGACACCGATACTGTACTGGATAATTGACCTGTGCTCCCAAAAAAAACTTAGCCTGCATCACTGGCCAAGGCTCGTTTTGCTGCACTGGCACTACCACCGGACACGCCAGTGAGTTTTCCGCTATACCCATACTTTTGCGAAAGGTTGTGCTGATTGCCTCTCACTATATTGCTTGCAGCTTGCTCTGGGTGTGTTCCTTACAACAAAGTCAGCTGGGCTAATTGAGTCAGCAGTCAACAATTCTGTTTGACAATCTGTGGATTTAGCCTGTATTCACATCCTCGTTCACGTTTTTGTTCTTGCTTAAACCAAGCGCGTGTCCTATCTTTATCCAATGCTCACTCTTTTGTACATGCTATTGCAACACTCACGACACGGTAATGCTATGAAAGAACAACACTTGTCGCGCCTTTTCCTTTGACAAATCTGATAAAAAGAAGGACCTCTCGGGAGTATTAATTGAAGTCACTATCTTTTTGCGACTTGAACCCCGCGAAATATAGCCAGACAACCAAGTGTTTTGGAGGATTAACGTTTTTAAAGTATTGCATGTCTCATGTACTTCACGTGGGACATGATAATCCAAGGGACCTCCTGGTGCCATGCATATAAATGCATGGGTTTTTGTCTTTTGATGGTACTAGAAATAAACTAGTAATCCTAGTAGCAACAAGGCAATAGTAATCTCTTATTGCCCAAACTTGAGCATCAGCAGAAATTTCTGCCCCCCCCCCCACAAACAAAGGCTCAAGCTCTTCAGAAGCCTTTGTTTTATCAAACTCTGATGTTGATTTGTAAGTTTTTTTTTTTCACTGTCAGTTGGATATTATCCGGCTGAAAAAAATTATCTGTGTGTGAAGACCTTCACATTTTACAAAGAAAAAAAATCTTGATCAACAGTTGCGCACTGCCACTTATGAAGGGTCCTCAAATCCTCTTGAAAAATAAAAACAGACCTGTAAGCTGGATGTTTTCCAGAAATTGAATCAGGGTGAAGTCAAACATTCCAATGACAGTTTTTGGATTCTTGATTAGAGGGCTAACAATGCAATCATCAAAGGGCTGCAAATTTTTTTCAGCCATTTCTAAGCCATCCACAATACAAACATACCATACATTCCTAGACATTCTGAAAACATATGAATGAGAATAGATCAGACCATCTGATTTCCCAGGGTGAGTTTATATAATTTGTAACTCATCATTTTATTTCTGATCAAGCATTGTCTGTATTCTTCCAAGCAGCATATCTATTTCTGCATTCATATCACAGATTGGTGTGCCAGAATTTGCAGATTACGCTGTTTAAATCACACCATTCTCAATAGTCAACTGCCCCCCCAAAAAAATCATCCTCATGAAGCCATATAGAAGCAACTCCAGTATTTCAGCTACATACAACAGCTGTTATTGTGCGTGAATACTGCTAATTTCCCATACTTTTTTACTGCAATACCAAAAGTTTTTCATGGTTTTTTTTGAAGGCCAACCTGGGGGCTTCATTAGCAACCCATGAGCAGCAAACAAATCTGTCTACATTTACCAATGAAGAGTGCTTTTTTGGGGGGTGGGGTTGGGGTCAAATTCACCCCACAGATAATAGCCATGCCCTTGATCCCAAATATAGCTCACTTCATCAACATCCTCTACCCTCCACTATCATCATCATAAAAAAATATCCTAGATAGTGGAGATTACATACACCAATTTCAGGCCATGCAGATCCTCCAACCATCATTATTCCAGCTACACCCCCCTTTTTTTGGATTCACAATTGGGACCCCATGAGTTGCCGGACTATTATTTTTGTAACATGTCTTCTACACAGCGCAACTCCATGCCCAACACACACACACACATTAGCCCAGTTCATGTAGGGTGTTTTTATTGACAAGTCTGAAAAGTTGCACTGCTCATTTCTTCAACTGTTTGCCTATGGTGTGTGTGGGAATTTACCAAAACTTTAAGCAAGATTTTGTTAAGTGTTGCTTGTTGCAGAAATTTTATTTGTGAA